CGGTATGGCCGGTGGGGTCGATACCTCGAGTAAAGTATCGTGTTCCCGCGCGGTATCGAGAACGACGAGAGATCAAGCAGAAGAGAAGGTCTCGGTTGTTGATGCTCGACTGCCTCATTTCGATAGCTGTTTGGAAGAGAAAGGAGTTAGCACACAGCGAAATCCATTAAGACTCGCAGATACTCACATCCGAAGAGCACGGGCAAGATGAATTTGCTTAGCTGTCGATGCAGATTGAACGAAAGCTCTGGAAGGTGAGTCTGACAGGCGAAGGACTTTGAAGCAGAATGGCTTACATCGTTTCCTGAGCCGCCTCGTTCAGTCTGTTCTATCATTCTTGTCATCAGATACTTGTTCCAGAAGAACCGATCGTCTGCCTTTCTCCACATCGCTTCTTTGTTAACGACGTCTTGAGGAACGTCGCTCTTCTCTGCTCTTTCAAACTGCCTTTGAAGACTGTTGGTTAGGTCCCAGCCATAGGAGAACCAGAGTCTTCCATTGCGAAGTCCGTTTTCAACGAGGGACACAAGCTCTTTCTCGATGGGATTGTCCAGTATGACAGACGTGGTCAATTGGCTGGAGAGAGGAAGGAGTCGGAAGTCGGTGGCTTGGTATATAGAATGTGATAACAGGCGACAGGAAGCGTTTCGCGAAGTTATGATGATCAAGAAGTCGGCTGAGAGCAAAATGTCAAGTTGAGCGGATCTGATTTGAATGATTCCACAGGAAAGATTACTCACTGGTAGCCAAAGTGATATATCCGACAATACCATAGCAAGTAATCACCATGTCCCCTTCAATATGTCCAGTCTCTGATGATCCGTGAGCCGCCTCGAGGTGCATGTCACCGGTACGGCGGTCCACACGCAACACCTGCTCCGTAGCTTTTTCATTTGGGTATGCTGCAGAGAAGGGAACAGTATTCGCTGGCTCGAAGATATAGGCATCAGGAGAGATGTACCTATCAGGATGAAGCAGAAAGGCAGTAAGTACGCATGTAGTAGCCAAGGTCGTCTGTTATCAAGTTGCCTACTTACACATTTAGTGCCTCATGCAAGGAAAAGTCGTGAGACGACATTGCGTGTCGTTTGTGATGGGTGTTTGACTATAAGGTGTGTAGCGGGCGACTGTTCCACAAGTCGGAGATAACGAAGAATGAATGAATCAATATCAGCATTCCGTGACGACAAAGGAACACGTTGCTGGCGGCTGGCACTCGACCGAGTGATTAGGTAATGTATATGTGCGGAAGCTGATGACTGTTCATTTCCATGTTTCAGGTCGTCTTTGCTTGCCCAAATTTCGGAAAGATAGTGACCGGTATAGCATAGCAAGAACACTTCTCGCAAAACTTCTCCTTGTGAAACCTCCTCACACGCTATGCCTCGCATCAACAGAACCCCATCGGTCTCCTCGGAATCGTCAGGGTCATCGAGCGAATCCGTGGAATCAGCCAATTTTTCCGACTGGGCTTCTTCACTGCACGGCGCCTACCGAACACAATCCTTGTTCGACGACACGCTTCTCGATTCTCCCAAGGAAGCTATTGAGTATGACGCTCGAGTACACAGTTTCAACCTGGATGATACTCTGGCGAGACTGAGTTTGAAGGACGACTATGCACGAATCCGGTTGGTCAACTACATTCGAAAAGAAGTAAGTTCGAGCTCTGTTCTATGACCTAAACCTAGGGTTTATCTCTTGGTCCTTGGCCTCTACAGAAACCGCAAGCGCAGGCTGTGCAGGGTTTGGAAAAGAGCAATTCTCTTTTCGAAGATGATAAATACCTTATTCCGGTCTTGGAAAACGACCCTTTACTGCGTAAGAGCTCACAAGTGCTATCATGGCATTCGGCAAACTAACGGTTCTTCCGATTATTTCCGCTCATCCGCAGAGGTCGGCTTCGACGACTCTTGGTCCGATGACGAAGAAATCGAGGCATCGGCAGCAAAAATGACCAAGCCTTCTTCCAAAACCGGTGAAGCAGCCCAGTCTACAGCGGCAAACGACGGGACAGCAACACTGGGAATCAGATTAAAGGAACTGATTCAGGCTTTGGGTGAAGATGACGCTGCCTCTGCTTCTGAAAGCTCAACGAGCGACGACGAAGATGCGGACGTGAAGGGCAAGGGCAAGGCGAGTACTCACAAGGGTAACGGAGCAAAGGTCAAGAAGCCCAAGGACAATGATTCCTACTACTTTGATTCTTACGCTGCCAATGGTGAGTCGAGGATGAAGAAAGAAGGCCAGCATTACTGACGTTTCGTATCGCTAGATATCCACGAGCTTATGCTCCGAGATACGACACGTACTGTTTCTTACGGTCGGTTCATCTTGTCCAACCCCGCTGTTTTCAAGGACAAACTGGTCATGGACGTCGGATGCGGCACTGGCATTCTTTCCAGTGGGTGTCTTGAGTGTGTCGGCCAACTTTTCACCTCGCTGACACTGCCCGCGTCGCCTTCTCAGTGTTTGCTGCGAGAGCCGGAGCCAAGCACGTATATGCCATTGAAGCTTCAGGTTTCGCCAACAAAGCCAGACAGAACATCAAGAATAACGGTTTGGAGGATGTCATCACGTAAGTTTCGACGATAGCGAAAGTACTTACCCTGACCTGATCGTACTTCCCTGACCTGACCATGCTTCTGTTCTTTAGCGTCATTCAAGGCAAGGTCGAGGAAATTCAGTTGCCGGTCCAACACGTCGACGTGATCATCAGCGAATGGATGGTGAGTCCAACGGCAGCACGGTCAGTTTCTTGACGGCACTAAGCCTCATAATACTGTGCACATAGGGTTATATGCTTCTTTACGAGGCCATGTTGGACTCTGTTCTTCAGTACGTCCCGCTCATAGCCTCATCATCGTATTCGTCAGTGCAAGGCGATAACCTCTCCTCCGTGCCTACAGTGCGAGAGATCGATTCCTCGCACCTGGCGGACTTATGGTCCCGTCTCAAACTCGCATCATCTTGGCCGGAATTACTGGTCAACAGCTGTGGGACGAAGGTTTCGGCTTCTGGGATAATGTTTACGGTAAGTCTTGTTTCTATATTACCGCTTCATCGGGGGTATGTGCTGAATTGTATTGCAGGGTTTGACATGTCCGCTATGCGGCCAACCCGATGCCAGGACGGACTGATTGAGATCGTAAAGCCTGAAGAAATCTGTACTTCAGAAACGATTGTGAAGGTAGGTGTTACAGCGATCATCGCATTGGCAATTGGCTAACGTGTTTCGTTTTCTGCAGGATATCAATACTCACACTGCAACCGTTAAATCGCTCGATTTCCACTCGGATTTCGAGCTTGTTCCCGCACCGTCCGCTAGCGGATCCGCCATGCAGATTCGAGCGTTCATCACGTGGTTCGATACATTCTTCTCGCACGACTCGTCAACGTCCGGTCAAGCATCGTCATCGCGAGAATGTTCTACGGAGTTCTTCCCTGATGATGCTTATGAGCGGTCCATAGAGATTGTCACCTCAGATGTGGCTGATGTGAGCTTTACGACCGGTCCGAGAGGAAAGCCTACCCACTGGAAACAGGTGGTATTTATGCTCAAGCAACCAGTCTTCCTTGAACAAGGTGAGTTGCATCGCTCTATTTGTGTGTACGTGTGTGTGCGTACGGGCGCCTGAAATCTCTAATAAATCAGGACAACGCATCAAGGGAACCTTCAATTGCGTCAAGGGTCACGACAACCAAAGAGAGGTGGATGTGGAAATTCATTGGAAAGTAGTCAACGACAAGGAGGTGGATATCACGCCAATGAATTATGACGTTTTCCGTGTCAACTAGTTTGTTGTATGTAGCGTGACATGTGGAAATGAAGCGTGATTAGCTGGTCTATCTTTCAGGACATGTCGGGTTGTTCGGGTGCGTTTGAATGCTGCGAATGAATACCATCGGTTGGCGCTATGGGAAGCCCATATATGACCTGGGGAGATACCCCTCGTCTCGTTGCTCTTTCCATACGTGCATTCATTGGAGGAGAAACTACGCTTAATGGACGATGGACTGTACAACGGTGGAGAAATGTGGGTCGGGAGTTCCCACCCCTCTCAACGCTCGGGTAACCGAAGGAAGCTATCGAGACATTGGCTCTGGAAGTCGGTGGCGGCCTCTGCCGGTGATTCGAGTCGCGCCTTCGTTACCTCCTGTTTGCTTGGCTGAAGACATTTCTGCCTTGGTGTTGAAGTGCGATTGTCATGTCTTGTTGACGCCCAATAATGGCGGCACAGGCAAAGACCAAAGGCAAATCGGTGTAATGTCAGGAATAATGGCTCGGATGTTCACCGCTCCGTGAGCTTAGATCCATGCACGATGCGAGGCGTCTTACGATCTTGCCCTCCGGATTCTCTAAAGCCATGTACTATTTCTCAGACCATGACACTGGAAGTTCTGCCAGTGTCGGCATATCCGGAGTCACCTGCTTTCCGGGAACATGACAAAGACGGTAGTGGCTTTCTTACGAAACTTGCGGTCTTCTGCTAGGCGATGTCGAAGCCACAGTCTTTGCTCTTCTTGCTCACTTGCCTGCCAGATCCATCATGTATGAACATCACTCGGTCGCGCTTATTTCAGCAGAGTCTGCAGGCATCGGTCTGACTCCATTATCGGCCATCTCATCCAGCCGATTCTTGACCGGCGCTTCTTCGCGAACCACTTACCCTTTACTGTAACTCTGAACATGCGCAACAATGTGAAAAGGTAAGCTGCACCAAGAAGACAAGTCTGACCAAGACGTTCGTTCACGTCGTTCTCTCCTAGCTTGTGACCTGCATAGGGTCTCTTCCTCCTGTCGTCGAAAATGTTATCGTCAGGTTCATCATCGACGTATGGAGTCCAAACGTAAGTCTACAATATTCCCAATAGCAGCACCTCTTCTTTGCATTGCTGCTCTCTATTTCTCGAATCCAAAAATGAATGTCGCTGGAGAAGGACTGGGAGGAAAAAATAGTGTCAAAGATGTTTTGAGTCTCTGCAAGACGCAAAAGTATTGCCTGTGCCGAGACTCGAACTCGGGTTGGCGGGTATTGCATGCGTCGAAGCCGTATGAATCCACAGTGATAACCATCTACACTACACGGGCTGTGGTTGTCGAAAAACCACGGGTCAAAACACATCTGCAAAAAGCCACCCGCAATCTTCTTGCACACAATTCGCCTTCTCCTCTTACCTCTATCTAATGCGGGAAACTTACCAGTACAGCATTACACACTGCCAATATTGGACAAGATCATGCAGATTCCAGAGTTCGCTGAGAAGAAGCCATACTACGGCTGATGCGATCCTACAGTTCAGCTTGTTTGTAAGAACAGAGGATTGGCGACACAAGAGATATCAACCCAGATTCACTCTCTGGTTGAATACCCAACATCATGTTCTGGTACGTTCTTACCAGTCGTCATATATATAGCCCGTGTGTCTTGTCTGGATTGCATAACCTGACCAGTCCTGGATCTCGACCGTTACAAAGTGAAAGGACTATAGCACAGAGACAGCAAACCAGCTTTGTCAACAACCAATCGCCGGTCATCGCCAGTGCCACCGCTTTATAGCTCGAGCTCCTGAGACTGGACATGGAGTGACACGACGACATCCAGCCTGCTTGACGATCTTATACCCGTTGCAGGTCACTTCGACAGCAACCTTCACTCAAAGGGCAACTGTCTGTCTAGGATATACTACGAACAAGTACTGTTTCCTCTAGGGACGCGTCTCGATCTTTAGAGGCACAGACAGGTCCACACGATGTATCCAGCGAGAAACACCTGAGTCATAGGACTTGATTAGAGACATGTCAAAGTGACTGTCCATATCAAATTCTTATCTTAGCAATGTCCCTTACAGTGCGACATGACTTGTCTTGTCATATATCACTCAACTGTCGCCTCGTATCGACGTGGGTAGCCTCCACCCAGTCTCAGAGGAGGCAATCAAGTCGCAGATCGCACACCCCAGGCAGTTAAGGAAAGCTCATGGACAAGCGAGGAGAAGTAGTAACATCGGTCAGGATGTAGAAATAGATGAACGCGTCTTCGGCCCCGCTTGACAACCAAACTTTTGCGAGGTTCTCGTACAAAAAGCATTACGTTTATCGAAATTTCAGTGTACATGCGCGATGATAGCGCACAATGCCTAGAAGAAGGCGTCTGGGAAAGCAAAGTATCAACAATCTGCCAGCCAGACGGTCGAACGAAACATATACATACCTAAGTTGGCCAGTTGTGCATAAGTCTCACTGTGCATCCGATACCTCAGCATACCTGCAAACATCATTAATGCTCGCGACTTCCTTCTCAATGATTGCATGGCCTAAAAGAAAAACCGCTTAGCTTTGGATGTTAGTTGACTTTGCCGAATGACATACCTCTTGCCTCGCTGCACCCCCGTAAACTTCGCTCTTCTTCTGTTGATGCAACTCGTACAAGCTGTTCATCGTAAGAACCAGTATAAGATCAATCTTTCGGGTGATATTGTCGTCAACATCCTTGAACTGATCCGCAGCTCGACTGATACCGGGAACGTCAGAGTCCAACGGCAAGACCCTGCTATCCTCGACGTTCTGCGCTCACCGACTAGATCGTCAGCAAAGCGACACTACACAGAATGATGCCTGGACGGGACTACTCACAGAAAGAGCCTTCTGGAAATCGCCTTGGTCAGCAGCAGTTTTCGCCTCTCGCAATCGACACAATATGGCATTGGCCTCTGCAAGTTTGGCTGACACGGGCAATCGCTCGTTAGCGAGAGCGGAAACAGTTTGTTTGCTGTAGGCCACAACGACATCAGGCTGAGAAAGTTCGGATTCGCTGAATTGCTGTTCGAGAGATTCCGCCAGATGCGAGTTCAGAGCTTGTAAGATCTGATCGTATTTCCCGGCCATCTTCAACAGCTGAATTCGATCGTGGAGAGCGAGATCGGCAGATGCAGTGTTTGCGAGGCGCGCGACCAGGGATTTGAGGGCCGCTTCCGCGTCCCTGATTTTGATAAGCTTGATGTCTCGGGAGATGATACTTGGCTGCAACAGACTATGCTTTAGAGGAACACGTTGATAGCATTGTCAAAGTGAACTTACCGCAACCTGCCCCTCGGCTGTCCTTTGGTCAAGAACAAGTGAGTATCCCTTGGTCTCGATGACCAGCTGGCCAATAGTATCCCAACACAGTTGGAGTTGCTCTTCACCAAGAGGTGCTGACAAATCGCCATTGAGGCCGATAAGATAAATGTACTGCAGAGCAGTTGTTGGATCCGATTTCGCAAAGTTGCGAACATATCGCTGAATGAGTCGAGCAAAGTTGAAATATTGTTCGTCCGCGACGCTTGTCACTGAATGTATGGCCACTCAGCGATCGGTATTGGATGCGCAGAACGAAGAGATGCAAAACACTTACGAATGCCTGTTTCTGATTGCTGTTCTTTCGACGGTACTCTAAGCATTCCGTAGTATGCCAGACCAATTGCAAAGTGAACAGCATCTATTTCCATTCGAGCCTTTTCATACAAGAATTGAATGGCCTAGTGAAGATAATGTCAGGTCAGTCTGGATCTTCACGCCGCGGGTCAAGCTGTATTAGACGTACAAGCTCGAATTGTCCAGTGATGCATAGCTGTTGAAAGTATACCAAGGGACGAGTGCCATGTGGATCAAAGTGCGCTTCGCCCGATTTGACAATGGTTTTCGCAAGATCGCTGAGAGTATATTTCTGAGTCGTTGCGTCTTGGTAGGTACTGCCGCTAGCTGTCTCTCGGATGAGACTCAGGTGCATCCACGTCCAATCTTCCATTGCATCGGTCACAACCGGGACACTCTTGCGCAAGTCAAACCGGCCGATCAGCTTGTGAATCGCATATTTGAAGGGATCGACTTGTTGTGGGTTTCGATAATGTTGAGTCCAGTGGGCCACAAACTTTTCTCGTCGGTCTCGCGAGAGCCTGATTGGGGGATATTCAGTGAATGTCGTAGCGGGATGGTAAACGAATGCAGACACACCTTAGATCAGGTGAACTTGCCCATTCTTCTAGCCATCTGTGGATATTCCTGTCCGTGTTGCTGAAGGCATGCTTTACGGATTGAGCAAGCTGAACTGCCTCCTGAATATGGCCTGCACGGATGAGGTAAAAGCATTGCGGCCAGAAGTATGTTTTGTCGATTTGCTAATTTGCAGACGCAGGACAGATGTCAGTGGAATGCTTTCCTGATTAGATGGATCAGATACACACTTCGAAGCTATTCTTGTACGGATGGTTACTCAACGTCAAACGCACATACGCCTGGATCTTGTTCACGATACCAGGTGTGCCACCTAGTCTCGCCTCACTCTGTCTATCCTGCAAGGTCTTCTCGACTAGAGACTTAAATCTATAGGAAGCCGATTTAGCAGAGTGTCAGCATGTCGTTAAAAAGGCCAACTTACCTGGACTCGAGGTATCGCTTTCCTCCACTGATGACCCGGTTGGTCAACTCTATTCTCTCCCTATCCCCTTGCTCGGCGTAATAGCTGTTGACGTATTGCCGCTGTGGTATCGCTTCTCCTAGGAACTCGCCATCGCGGACATCCTTTTCGCCAACAATGGAAATCAGAATGTCAAAGCTATCAGACAGGAGTGGTGATCTCTGCAAATGCGAGAGAAAGTTAGCCTCTTCCGAATTTCGAATCTGCTGAGAGTGAACTGACGCTGTCTCCATCTCGTGCCATAATTTGCTTCATATAGCTAAACAGAGCAAGATTTCTTCCCGTTTTACGATACGAGTTCAATCTCTGTGGAGACGAACACATGGTGTAAGTTATAGGCAATACGACAAGTACGGCAGCCATCACACGGACCTTGATGATTTGATCGCACTCCATCATCCTTTTCTGAGCTTCGATTGAATCGATGCCGCCCGCACTTCCAGTGTGGTTGGACCCATATGTGCTATTGCCCAAGGATGATCTGCTCAAGGACTGATGAATAGGAGAATTAGCTTACGTTTATGTAGAAACATGAGGTTTATGGCCACTTACCGTTCCAAGCATACTTCTTCCCAGATTGCCGGTTCTCGAGTCGCTACTATCCGATTTGGAATAACCAGCTAATTCCTCTAGAATCTCGGCTCTTTGCTTTTTCCAGTCCATCTGCATCTTTCGCTGGTAGGCTTCAGCCGCAGCTTGTTGCGTCCGCCTGTGAGTCTCTTCGATGGCGGAAATGATAATCATCTCCTTTCGAACTCTGAGGAAGCCATCAACATCCGTATCAGCGATACCGGTCTGCGGTTCCCACTGCGATTGCGCTAATGTTGACTGCTGCAAATTGCTGGATGGTCCTGATGCTGGTACCGCAGCTTGAAGTGCGTTTGAGACGTTGTTGATTTGGTTGTTGAGGTTTGGGACGTTAACACCATGAGTAGCGAGCAGATAGGACCTGGAAAGAAAAACGGATGTAAGCTCATTTAGAAATATATGGATACACCTGCAACTTACGCATTGCCTGTATCAACTGGAGTCACACCCCGTCTCGAGCCAGCAAGACCGGAATGAGAGCCAGCGTGTCTCTGTTTCGCTAATCTTGCACTTCCACTGACGATCTCATCCAGCCCGACTTGCAAACTGGGTATATCATCCCTTGGGACAAGTTGATTGAGTTGATAAGATTCGTTGACAAGAGCCGCGAGTCCCGACATGGTGATTCAGGCCCTGGAGCTTTATATTCAGAGTACCGTTGTTACTCTAAAACAAGCTCTGATGAAGCACTAGGAGACTGTACTCGTATGACATTCGATATGACGAGGACAGCTAACGAGGACTTGTTGTGGAACAATTCGTTCAAACCCCCAATAGGGAGCGCGATCGACCGACCGCTGGCGCTGGATTTAATCTGGATATGCGCCTTTCTAACCAAACGTCTTCCTACCTTTCTTCGTTTCAGCAGGCTGGGAACAGCTTGTGCCGAAACATCAGGGAGTGAATGTGACAAGGTCCTAAACACAAAGGAACACCCAAAGGGGCCAATCAGCGGTGACAAAGGCGGAAAATATATAGGTCTGATCGCGCTGGACGCTTTGCAAGTGCATCGTAGGCCCTCAGATCGCATCCCCCTCGACCGACA